AATTGTTCAAAATCATTATTAATATCATATGTGCTTCAGAGACTTGTAGAATCTTATGAGTGCTGTGTAAGATTGTAAATTGTGTATTTTATTTATTAAGTTTGTTTGAGTATTACTAGTAATTTCTTTTTACTTTACTGTGAAACTAATAAATCACACTAGTAAAATGTATATCTGGTGTTGTAATGATATCCTTCTTTAATTATTACTGTCTGTGTTTGTCTACATTTGTATATGTGTTAAGCATTCAGTAATAGCTGATTTATGTCTTTGGATTGAAGCTTCACATTGATTGTATGTTGTAATATTAATAATGTTATTTGTTTTTGCCAGATTGCTTCATTCCAAGATTAATAAGGTTTTATACTAACATATATTTGTTGTATAGATATTATATCTGGCTGCAGACAGCTCACTATGTGTCTAGGTGTATCATATATGTATTATATCATGAATGTATTGTCTGTATCACTTTGTGTTATTATTTATGTTTATGTAGTAACTTATTAATATTGTGTTATGTAATGAATCGATTTTGACACATCCTGAGTAACTATGTGATCTGTTGTGTTATTTCTTCAATAGCCAACATAATTATCCATTGTAAATTGTTACTAACGTGTGTTTGTATTATTTGTTATTAACAGTGTTATTGTGAATTGTTGTGATTGTGATGTTATGAATATTTATTAGTATTATGGCTATTGTTCTTTGCTTTTTCTTTTTACAAAGAATGATGTATTGTAACACAATCCACATATAATTGATATATTAGATTATGTTTGCTATAATCGTTTCCTAGCATTCTTTTAGTGAATCTAGTACTATGTACAATTGTAGTATTTGTTCAATGTTTTATTTGTTAATTGGTTTGCTAGGTAAAACGTTTTATATATTGGTTTTATTTATTTTATTTGAATCATTGTATAGATATACTTATTAGTATCTATCCAATGTATTTCATAATGTTATAATACTGTTCACACTTGTATTAATTGTATAGTGAGGGCAAATTAATCATTTGTACAAGAATCAATTTAATAGTTTTATTTGATTATATGTATGTACTCTATACTTGTTTGTATAGTTATTATCTTTGTATTGTTTGATTGTAGTTGTGAATTATATTACAATTATATTTGTATTATTGTATGAATGTATTATTTATTGTTTTATGTATGTTCCAAAGTATTATTTTTGTTATTCATCACTTTTATCCATAAACTATAGTCCAGATTGATGAATTATTTTGTTATATGATGTAATAATTGTCTGTATTTTATTTATTTTTGTATTAAACATTGTTAAGTTAATCAGATTATTATATTAATATTATTCACCAAGTATGAGCATTCGTTTTGTAGTGGAATTATTATTTATTTAATGTTGAAGTTCAATCACACATTGTGTTGACTTCCATTATTTGTTCTGATCAACATTATTTTGCATTGTATTGAATGATTTACCTTTGTGATCCATTATATCTGTCTGTAACTTCTATTGCTTATCATTTTTTAGGATCAGTGATAAGATCAACGTTTCTGCATCATGAATATTCATTTGTTCATCTGTAGTTTTGTGTTGTGAACGTTTGCACATTTGCTGCAAAGAACACTTTAGGAATATGTGCCATTTCTAGGCTTTATTATTATTAATTTATTAATTATCTGTTTGAGTAACTTTTATAAGCATTGAAAATGTTATGTAATGTATAACTTTTATATTCTTTAATAAGGTATTTTGTGTTTGACAGATTTGTCAGATTCATTACAGATTTCACTTAGTAATGTAGTCAATATGTTTGTATTAAGAATTTAATGTTCATTATTAGTGTGTATATTATTTAATTACTCCCCTTCAATTTGAGAAGGTTATTCTTTGAGTAATTGACAAGTAGTGTAAGTACATAAGTACATTGTTGATTTTCTTTTGTGTATTTGTAATCCAACAAGTAGTGTTAGTACTTTGTTATTTTACTTTCATACATTTGTCAGTATGTGTTATAATATAACAGTATGTTTTAAGTTAACTTGTAATGTTTGACATACATCATTTTGTTTAAACATTACACTGTAACATTGTACTGTTTGTTTTATAAATTTTAATGTGATGTTTGTAATATGTCTGTAATATTTCAGACATGCTAAGAAATCTTCTGTGTGTTTGCAGTTACAACATTGGTTGTGCATCTATTCATATCTCTGATAAGATGTAATAGATATGCTTGTGTCTGCTTTTCTTTATATATTATACTGTCCAAGATAATGTGTTAAACGTTTTATTAATTTATTTAATCTTATTATATTATGATTGTTTTCGTTTGTAATCATTATAATAAGTGTGTCCATCATAGTTTTTCTGTTGTTTGTTGTACTAGCCATATTAGTATAGTACTTCACTTGTATATAAGCTTTGTAGCTTCAATATAAGTTTATTTATGCTTTGTTAAAGTATATTTACATTCTGTGTGATTAAATATGTTCTGTTACATTGTTGTAGTAATGGTAGAGGTATTATTCTACTGTTTGCCATTATTATACATTGTTATTATATGTTTACACTATCATAGGTGTAAAGTATTGTTATTTGTTTATTGACTATAATTGTGTACTTGTTCCTGTACCATAGTTACTGTAATGTACTTTGTAACTTTATTATTATTATTATTATTATTTATTCATCCATAGATAGTTGTACACTTTCATAAGCTGTATTAGTGTGTAGATATCAGATGTCTTAGATATCAGATGGATATCTGCTAACTTGTTTTATTTCATATCCAACATGTCCAACATATCCAAGACATGTCTTACATTAATTGTTTGACTGTAATATTGTTATATGTGTTATTATTTTATTTATACTATAATATATGTGTGCTTGTTGACAGTGTCAATCATTTGTGCTATTATAATATTAATAGCAGATGAGTAGTGTTTGCTTTCTCAATCCTTCTAACATTTGTCTATAGTATGATCAGTTATTTATAATAACATAATCTCTGTAATATTATAGAATATTTTAGTGATTAAATGTTGCAGTAAGTGATACTCATTGAAGTTTCAGCATCACCTGTATAGATTATGTTATTACTGGGCCAATAATCATAATTACTAAGATGATGATCATATAATGTCTGGGTCATATGTAGTACAGTAGATTGTGTGTTTACAGTGTATTGATTTGTGTTTAGGATACTCAGACAGGTGAGTCAAGTTCTGCATTGTAGTATACTGTGTGCATGTATGTGATGTGTAGAACTGTATAGAGTATAGACATAGTAGAGTGTAGATAAAGTATAGGCAGGGAGCTTAAGGCTTATAACCTGTTAAAAGGGGTTATGTGAGAGACTTAGAGGGATTACACAAAGAGGGGGGATAGTGGACTTGGCTCACTCTCCTTAGCATCATTGTCTGTTGATTCAGTAAGTATATATAATATGTAACTATGTCTTAGGTATGTCTGTTACTTATATGTATCATTCTATATATGTTAACAGTTGTCTAGTCACCCTGTCACCCACCCCAGGATTAGACCCCTTTGTTCTATACATACCTGACAGTCCTGGAGAAAACATATTTGTATACAAGAAGGTAGTAAAGAAGGTTAGACCAGTTGCCAGAACTCTCTCAGAAGAGTTTCAGATTGTTTAACAGAAGCATTCTAATCTGTTAAAGAACATGCCAGAACTGCTGTTGTACTCCAAGCTGTTTGTCCCAACACACTGTTTCATACAAGAATGTATGGAAGCTCTTAACATTAATCCATACAACTTCCTCTGGCCAGAAGAGTGCCAGCTTTTAATTAACCTGATTTCAATGTATGAGAACACCTTTGCCTGGAACAAGCTTGAGAAAGGTGTCCTAGACCTAGAATACTTTGATCCAATATTGATTCTGACTGTTCTACATATTCTATAGGTACAAAGGAACATCTGGATTCTACAGGGAAACCTTGACACAGTCATGAAAATTCTTAAAGACAAAATCACTACTAGAGTTTATGAGCTGTCAAACTCATCTTACTGTTCCTAATAGTTTACTATAGTAAAGAAAGATGGAAAGTCTCTGTGCCTGGTCTACAACCTCTAGGAACTCAACTGAGTTTTGATCCAAGACTCATCTGTACCTCTGATGATTGAACAGGTTGTTGAATCCTTCTCTAAAAGGGCCATTTACTCTGTACTAGATCTCTTTGTTGCCTTCAACCAACACTCTCTTAATGAATGCTCTCACAATCTTACAATGTTTCAGACACTACTCAGAATGTTCTGACTTACTGTTATTCTAATAGGTTATACTAATTCTTTTCAAATTATACACAGTAATATTACTTTTATTTTACAGGATAAAATTCCTAATACAGTACAACCCTATACTGATAATGTTTATGTCAAAGGCAGAACTACAAGATATGAACTTCTGAACAGAATGTACAAAACTGTTCCCAGAAACCCTAGTATCTGACAATTTGTATAGAAACACACTTACAACCTAAACTGTGTTATATAGTAAGTTAAAGTAGTCTATAGAACATTCTCTGGTCTAAAGCTGTGTGTGTTCCAACTGTATGTAACTGTCTTAGACTATAAGTGTACCTATGCTGGAAGGGAGCCAGATGATTCAAAAGTCTAGAAAATCTGTGACTGGCCTGTATGTCAATCTGTCTCTAAAGTTAGAGGATTCCTCAGAACTGTAAGTGTCCTCTGTATGTTTATTCGAAATTTTGCTCAGCTTGTTAGACTACTCACACATTTGACTAAGTACAACATTCTGTTTGAGTTCTGTTTGGAACACATGGTAGTAATAGACAAACTCAAAGACACTGTTATTAATAGCCCTGCCTTATGTACTATTGACTATGAGTCAGACATGGAGGTTATTGTTACTATAGACTCATCTATTATTAGTGTAGGATTCTATCTCAGACAAGAACACCTCAACAGTCATTGTTGAATCAACCAATTTGGATCAATTAACTAGAACAAAGTACAATCCTAATACTCTCAAGCTAAGATCAAACTCTTTAGATTGTTCTGTACACTCTATACCCTACAAATTCACCTTATTAGAGTAAGGAAGTTAGTAGTAGAAATGGATACTGTCTATGTTAAGGGTATAATAAATAACCTGGACCTACAACTGAATGCTACAATCAACAGATGGATTGTCAGAATCCTACTGTTTAACTTTGAGTTCCAACACATTCTAGCCCTACAGTTTGCTTGTACTAACAGACTGTCTCAACATCTGTACACTGAAGCTAACCTAGAAGAAGAAGATGACTTTAAGGAATGGATCAACCAAGCTTACACCTTCTGTTACAGTTCTGTGTTCACTGTTCTGAACAATACCAAACCTTTTAAGACATTTCCAACAACTGATTATACACATGCTAGAGAATATTGTCTCAGACAAGTTAAGACCTTCCTGGAAACATGCCTCCAACTGTCTAGGATGGAAAATCACAAATTCACCACCTTTGTTTACTATACAACCACTTTCTTTGTTAAGACTGGCTGACTATGGTGGAAAACCTGGAACAGTAACTACTAACTTGTAATAGAACCTAACTAACAATAGAATCTTGTCAAGACTGTGTATAATGATCTCAGACATAAAGGAGTCTACTCTGTCCAGGCTAGACTTCTTGACTGCTTCTAGTGGCCTAGCCTTGGACCCAACATTAAGTACTACATCTGTACCTGTTATGAATACTAACTCTGTCAGACAACTCAAATCCTGATCCCTCTTAGTGTTTCAAAGATTGCCCTATTATTTGCTAAGGTACACATTAACACTAAGTTCATACTGAAAGCAGGAGGGTTCTGATACATTGTTCACACTTGATACACACTCTCTAGCTACCCTGAGTTCTACTTACTCTGTTCTAAAACCAGACAAAGTATTAGACAATTCATTTTTAAAAATATTCTCTGTTGATTTAGTGTATGCCCAGAACTTGTTACTAACAACAGAACCCTGTTTGTTACCACACTAGATTAGCTTTACAACCAATACTACATTAATCACATCTGTATTAGTATATACAACTCTTAAGCTAATAGTATTATTAAATACTACCACTTTAACATACAGGAAGCTCTTATGAAGGCTGCTGAAGGGAATGAACTACAATAGTATGAACATACACATTCTGTCTTTTAGTCAGATCAGATCACAATCTGTGTAAGATATACTCACTTTACT